CGAGTCTCAGGTGTGTGTGTGTGTGTGTGTGTGTGGTTAGACAGATAGATAAATATCAGAGTTTTCGCAAGTATTTGATAGGTTTGCTTATTAACGAGAAGATCAAACAGGAGATGTACAAAGTAATCTGAATTTTAACTCGACTAAGTTTTAAGCTGTTTGAGAACTAGACTTATCACGATGATAGAAAGCGTAAACAATATTTACTGTTTACAAAAAAAGTGTATGTGTGTGTGTGTGTGTGTGTGTCAAAGGTGCAATCGTCTATGTTTGATCTGTGAATTGTTAAACGGCTTTCTTTCATCAAGAAGGCTCTCTGTTGAACTATTCATGTCGATAACTTGGTACAACTCTGAAAATATAAAGATTCCAATCTAGAAAAAAAACAATTCTTTCGTTGAAACAGCATCAACCATTGGATTGGTCATTCTCCCACAGCATTCGTGGGCTGTAACATACATGCATCATTCACTCGGCCAGTGAAGAACGTTGCAAACGTTGACCCTTTCAACACGGATGTATTAACCTTTTTAATTTCTTCAGAATTCCAGTTTACTTTATCCTAATAGTACTAAAATGCTTTATAAAGTTTGATGTTCTATCAGGAGCCCAATAATATACGTTTAACTTGCCTTAGTAATGTATTTTAGAATTGCCTCGCTAAAATCCCTCAGTACCTTTGATACGGAAATGCAGCCTTCTTCCTTGATAAGATTAGTTCAAGATCAGCATTTCAGTACACTCAAACTCAAATATGTCAAATACATTGATTTTGAGTCAATCCTACGAAGATATACTCTCGTAGGATTGCTGCTTAACAAACTCTTTATAAGAAAGTTTTATTTATAATCTATAATTACTGGAGGGTGTTATAAACTAATAATTTATAAAACAAAAGAATATTTATTCATTATATTGTTGGCTTATCGCAGCAAAAATAGTATTCGAAAGGTCTCACTTGAAAACTTTTTTTTTCATCTTACCACCTGAATAGTAATCAAATGTATTTAAGCCAGTCAGCTATTGTTCCGGACAGTTAGTTAAAACTTATGTTTAAATATTTAATTAAGTTTATGTTGACCAGCTGAATCATCAGTTTAAGTAAATTGAAGCCTGTTGTTTCGTTGACCCTCTTTAAGTATTTAATATATAAAAAAATATCTCATTACCTGTGTCATTCTCTTGTGTTTATTAGGTTTAGGTATTACAACAACAGGTTTATTCGGCCACATCTTCTACGTGACCATCCTATCGGAGAACCAAAGATCTTTGAAACATATTCAAAACTAAACCTGGTAGATGCAATGAACTTCGCGAAAGAAAAATCCAGGTTAACAGACCGCAACCAGAATATATCACTGTCAGCTTTGATTAGATGGTATACCCAGAAGAATTTTGGAAAGTAAGTTGATAACTAGTTATGTGTATGGTGATAAACAACTGAAATAAACTAAAACATTTCGAACTGTAATTGTGATTATACAATACACCATAACTTCTTAAGGGGGAAATACTTAAAATATATATAGGTTCATCATAAGAAAAAGCAATAGTAACAATAAAAATCAAAATTTAAAGTTTATATATATATATATAGTGAAAAATCAATAGAAACAGTGAAGATAAAATGTTAAAGAATATAAATATATAAATCCGTACAATGAATAGAGAGAGTTGAATGCTATAACTAATTGTGTATATATTTTGCCCAATTGTTGTTAACCATCTAAATATACACAACATTTTACCTATAATATGTAATTTAACTTTTCTAATTACTGTATTTATAAAGGGTATCAGATACTTGTACACAGATATGGATTGAAGTTGCAATCCATTTCAGTGTCAGCACTTGTAACAGATTAGAATTAACTTGAAACCTGTGTGCTTAATGTGAGAAATATTCAGTAAAAGAATAGTTACAAATGTACGATATTTATCACATAAACTAAAATATAAGTGCGTAACGAGGTTCAAGGCCAAGAAAGAAGAATTATGGAATGAATTCTCAATACCATTAGTTTATAATTATATCTGACGTAGTCGGCAATCCGGGTTCCCCCTTAGGACACCTCGTAATTTACAACCATTGCCTTTTTGAAAAACAAATTATCTTCTATATATACCCAAACTTACATATATTAGAACAAAGAGAATTTTCCAAACATTTTCTGATTTTTCCAGTTGATTAGAAATCTTTTCAAACTTTTTAGCAAGAATTTTATTGAACTCGTTAAATATAAATCGAGGTTACAGTTTCACGAAGTTTAGCTAATTTGCTAAGAACAATATATTGTATTTTAGGAATAGATAAAATAATATTCAAAAAATTCTACCAGAAACCATTTATTCCTCAGGATATTTTAAATTTTAAACTGTCGTGATTTAAAAAAAAATTATGTATGAGGTACTGGCGTTGGGGGAAGGGGTGTTGCTCTGTACTAGAACCTCATTCACAAGATCCCCCCCCCCAAACCCCCTAAAAATTTTCGGTAATTATATTGGTAATGTGTAATAAATTTGGTGTTTCCCAATAATTTTTATACTTCGTTTTTTCTTATTTCCTCCTTTCACATTCCCTACAAAACTGAACCTCGATTTAAGAAGACCCGTTATAAATCTTTGCACCAGCGCTAGGGAAGTTCTGGCGTCTCGTACTATCTAAACATAAGTTTGGGATATATGTGTTTTGAAACATTGTATATGCTAGTTTCTTAATTTTTATTATTTTCAATAGGTCAGGTGTGGCCTAGTGGTAGCGTGCCGAGAGGTAAGCTCAAGAGTCTACGGTTTGCATCTAGTTGTCGCGTTCCTGGGTCGTGAGTACTCTATATAACAATAAGGGTCAAATTATACTATGCGATCAGACAAGACTTAACGTGGCTGCCGTTGACTAGCTGCCTTCCCTCTAGTCTTTCAGTTCAAAACTAGAGATACCCTTTGTGTATTTACATGAATATCTGAAAGAAACCAGTATTTTATGGGTATTTTTAAAAACGTAATAGGACTTTAATTTTCTCAATTTCCTGTATCACAAACACTTTAAATTAAAGCCACGGGCGCAAGAGCACTAAAGTGATTAAACAATTAAGAACTTGTTCAAAGATCCCCATTCTCCAGTACTTGACCCTTAGCTAAATAAAAACCTCCCAAAATGCTTAAAACTGCAAAGAATGGTTTCAAAACATATCCTATAGTGCCTCAAATGATCACTAGCTCTCCTATTCTCGCGATAGCGGTTTTAAAATGCTATGTAAGTTTATGGGAAGTGTTTTGTTTTGGTTTTTCGCTATAGTTCCTAAAACATGGAACTGCTCTAAAAATTCACCTTTTGATTAAAAGAAATACTTTTTATCTTAAACAGGTACCCTGATGAATCTATTCCAAGTTCGGGCACTTTCTTATATCCTAACGAATCAAATATCTTGAATTTGGACGTAGGTGAATTCGACTATTCCCCAAGTTATAAGGACATAACTGATGCTGAACTTCACCATATTCTGTCCGACTCCACATACAAACCCACCCAAAAGGTAAAGTTTAGCTGGTGTAGAACATTTATGTGGAAAACGAAAACTTATAGAATATATATATATATATATATATAATGCAAACAAGTTTATAAAGTTAAAGCAAAACATATCAGTGGAGTTTGGACTTTCGGCAGATTTCAGTAGCGTGCCAAATTCCACTTGAAAGCCAGGAGCTCTGAAAAATATGCGTTCGCTGCCACCAGAGTTTCAAAATGTCATCAATTTTTACTTTTCTGAAAGCCGTTGAATATCGCCTGGTTATTGTTGCAGATTTCGTTATGGTAACTTTTTAGAGGCACTTAACGATTCTAAGGCTTGTTATAGTTTGAGATAGGAGTAGCCATTATTTGGAATCCAAAGTTACGGGAAGCGTCAACCCTGCGTTAACTTCCTTGAAGAGATGTCCTTATCATATTGGTAATAAATGTATATTATTTTAAACGGTACCATAAGGACGACATAACATGTTTAGTGTTACGGGTAACGTTATTAGATATAAAACTTACACCTGTCAGTCAGCTGAAGTTAAATGATGTTGAACAGTTGCCAGGCTGTTTTCACATTTTATTTGTGTATTTCTAAAGTTAGAATTTAAAGAAAATTTTCCACGTGTATGAAAATCTTGTTAACGTTTATTGGTTAGTGAGATCAGTTGACTGGTAGAAAGTTGTTCAAGAAAGCAGTGTATTTACTTCAAGTATGTTTCTATATCGTATAATACTAGATAATTAATGTTCCTAACAATCTTTGTTTTTGGCTTTATATCAAGCATTCATTTCATATGACATAACATTATTCTAAGAAGAGAAACATAATCAAATGTACGTGACAGAATAAAGTGCTTTGTTGACCCGTACAGATCATACTCAGTCATTAAATGAATTACATTCTTATTGAAAGAGATTTGGCTACTGCGCATTACATTTTACAAGTGATTAATCTCCATGTTTCTGTTGTAGAAATATGTGGACTTTTAAAGTCTTCTAATTAAATACAACATTTAGGTAGTTTGCACATGAACATATTAATTTCATGTGTTATTCACTTAACAGAAAAGAAAATACGAGGTTCAGTTATTTTCATAAATAATTGGTCAGCACAACCACTTTGCCAATATAACCCGTATTTACAGAAATCTGCTTATCTCCTCTTCCCAAAAATTGAGATTATTAAATATTTTTAGCAGACAATTAGGCATAACAATGATCAAAGCCTCAAATAACTAAAATATTATTTCTAATGCTGGAATTTATAGAACATTTTCCACGGATATGAAAAGCCTGTTAACGTGTATAGGTTGATTGAGCGTGGTCTAGTGGTTTGTGTGTCGGATTGTGAATCCTAGGGTCCATGATTCGAGTCCCGTTTTCCATGGCTGTCTTAACAAGGTTTGGCGGTTCCTGAATCTGAACTAATTTAAGGAACCTCCCATAGTACTAACTACTACATTTGTATAGTCGTGACAATTCAAAAATCATTAACTAGGGTATTCAAATCTTACAGCCAGGGCTCTTCTTTGACCTCGGGGTCCTGAGCCCGTGCCCCACAGGCCATTTTGCTAAGACGGCCCTGCCATTGCCGTAAAGTCATTCTCACTAGAAGAGTAACGTTTAAATCCTACTATTCGATTAGAGTACCCTAATAGTTGGCGATAGGTGCTATTAAGTAATTTCCTTCCCTCTAGTTTATCAGTTCAAAATTAGAGACAGCTGGTGCAAGTAAACCTTGTGTAGCTTTGCGCCGATACCCTAACGCAACAATAAGTTTGAGGATTTATTTGGGACAGAAAACTGCAACGCCATGGTTTCCCTTCCACACTTCTTACTATTGTGTATTGTTAAAACTAGTCGTGCATTTTAGACTGTGACGATTTCAAATGAACACGCCGCTACAATTAGGGCTCAACAACAAAAAACTATTTATTCACAATAACTACACTTAGAAATAAATTCAACCCTTTTCAAAACACAGTTAAGAAACAAGGGCCTGGTCCGGACTTCACACCAATATTAATAAACAGTTTATCATAAATGTTGTTACGCCTCCAGTCGTTAGTTAATTTTCTGTAAATTCGTTCCGACGAAATTTTAGCGACAAAAGTCCTTTCATAAATAAAACTGGTTTATTCTTTCTGAATATAACTTTGCGATACACTTAATTTCAACAGTCGCGCTATAATTCTCAACGAACGTCTCACGTGCTCGTGCTCGACAATACTCAGTTCAATTACACACTCTCTGACTGCAGTTCAATTACTCATTGTTCCGTCACGTTGTGACCATCTTATATATATACCAGACCACTCCCAATCTAGTAATGTCCCGATAATTCACGAAGGTTCGAGAAGGACGTGGCGTGATACTAGTCACGTGACCTCGCTGATGCAACAATATTAATAAATCCATAATAATTGAATCAGGAAAAAGAACCAGAAAAACACACACACACACACCTAATTCCAATAAAATAAAATAATGCAGCAAATACAATATTTCAACAATAGCGAGCTACAAACAGCAGTAACTATACCCTTCGTTAACTATTTAATGACTTTATCTCTTAGTGAAGCTTCTGGCAGGGTATTTATTCACAGAGTAGGTCACGAGAGTACAACCTTATGTGATCATAAATTTACATGTAGCAGGTGAGTTAGAGTTTTAATGCAACTAAAAATTTATAGATAAACTAAATGATAGAAGGAAATAATAAGTGAACGATAAACACAACCATAATAGAAAAAAAAGAATTAGCTATCTCGCAGATAAAACTTTTGATCCATGGTTCTGCATTGTCAGTTAATCTGCTCAATTTTTAGTCTCACGTGTTATAAGTTCAGTCAGTTATCAGCTTGTGAATTGAGTTCCATATCATGCAGATGAATTCATGTGAAGTCTATTGTTTCTATGGTAACTTCGAAAGTTTTCCATCATGTGTACAGATAGTCATTTGTACAATTAGTGTCACGTAGTTCATGTAATAAAGTACATAAGCATGAAAATGTAATATATTTTAGCTGTTTATAGTTTTACAGAAATTAGTTAGATACAAAAGTATTAACAATCCCGGGTTAACTAACGTTATGTTGTTATGTATAACAAGTAACACCTGTGGCCCAAGGTTAGAGAATGACGATTAGATGATTTTATCTAATACACCCCGTTTCTTGACATAGACTATATATAACACGAAAGTGATTTACGCTTAACCTTATTTTTTTAACAATCACAACACTTAACAAAGTTAGCAGAATAGAAATGATTTAAAACGTAAAATTATCGAAACGTCACATTTGAAGTGGAAGAGTTATTTTTGTATTTGCTCATAGTGAAAGCAAGTTTTCAAATCAGTCCAACTGTCCATGAATGGATGATAAAAGTGATTTCTTTTCGGGGGTGGAGGTGTTTTTTAATAGGTAACTGAGGTTTGGTTTTTAATTTCGCACAAAGCTACACGAGGGCTATCTG